CTGGGACTGGCTGGATGGGACAGGCCCAGTGTTGGCTGGCCCCTGGCAGGCCAGTCACTCAGTCGGTGAACACGTCTTGAGCAGATACTGCAGTCTGTGAGACGAGATGTGGAACATGCTCAGAATCACTTCACACGGTGCAGGGAGGGATGTGCTCCAACCAGCAGAGATGTGCTGAGGAGGAGCCTGGGAGGGCTTCAAAGAGGAGGTGGATCTGGCGCTTTCTGGGGGTGGTGGTGGTGGTGGAGGCAGGGCATGTGTGCTTGTGTGTGCGTGCATGTGTGCATATGTGCTTGGTGTGTGCACATGTGTATGCCGCTGAACCAGGCAGTGAAGCAGCCCTCAGCCAGCCCTGGCCCTGGAGAGGTGCTCAGCAGTGCGTCCTGAAGGAATGAGGAGTCCTCCCTGAGGTGATCACACAGTTTGGAGTATGTCCTGTGGGCTGGGCCGCCTGGCAGGGCTGGGCCTGGCCAGGCTTTGTGAAGGGAGAAGGCACAGGCCTGTGGCCCTCGGGGTAGGGTATCAGGGTGTGGTGGTCAGCAGTGGGAGCCCTTGAGATCAGTGGACATGAAGTCACCATTTGGAGTGTAGAGGGAGGAAGAGGAAGGAAGGGCAGTGAGAAGACCATTGAGAAACCCTGGTAGCTGGGGAACGGCCTCTGAGATGGGCCAGTGTCATGGGGCAGCGACAAGGTGGGGACAAAGGTGCCCATGGACATGTTGTTCACAGCCAGACTAACCTCAGTCAGTAGACTTGCTGTTCGCATTCTGCTCTAAGGGTCCTTCCTGGGACTACTAGAGCGCTCTCTGTCCCCTGACCCGGGGAATCCTGACGCCTGGGGCAGGCTCCTCACCCCTGCTGTACCTTTTCTTGCCCATCCAGGAGACTCTGCAGCCGCTGTGGATGAGCCCCCTCTGGCCCCCTCCAGCCGCAGCTCCAGCACTGAAGACTTCTGCTACATCTTTGTGGTAGAGTTGGAGCGAGGCCCCTCAGGGCTGGGGATGGGCCTGATTGACGGGATGGTAAGTAGCCCTGGCCCTGGTCTGCCTGTCTCCCCCCGTAGCCTCCTCGGCTCCTGGCTGGGCAGCACGAGTCAGCTTCCCACGGAGTCCTGAGACCTCTGCTTCTCCCTAGCACACACCCCTAGAAGCCCCTGGGCTCTACATCCAGACCCTGCTTCCGGGTAGCCCTGCGGCGTCCGATGGGAGACTGTCGCTGGGAGACCGTATCCTGGAGGTGAATGGCAGCAGCCTGATGGGCGTCAGCTACTTGAGGTACCTCTCCACACACACCTTGGGCAGGCACTCGGGACCAACCCAGGGCAGTCTACTTGCAGGCCGTGAGCACTGAGCCACTCCTGAGGAGGAGGGGAGCATCTGATGCAGAGCCAGGCTAAGGCTCACGCATGGCCATAGGGGTGGGAGGAGGAGGGTCATATTCGCAGGAGATGCCAGGACTGAGCTGAGGCACAGAGTCCACACTGCGCCCCACAGCAGTGAGGGCAGCTCACCCCATCATTGATTGCAGAGCTGTAGACCTGATCCGACATGGGGGAAAGAAGATGCGGTTTCTGGTGGCCAAGTCTGATACAGAAACAGCCAAGAAGATCCGCTTCCGCACACTAACCCCCAGGGTGGGGCTGGAAGGACGTCCTCGTGCAGCTGCCCCTGCGGTTCCGCCAGGTGACAGCAACCTTCACCAAGCTGTTCATCCATGTTTTTAACTGACTAAGTTGAGTCCCATGTGGTGCACACTTCAGATGTTGATACTGTACATCTTAGTGTATATTTTATTTATATGACAGATAACACTAAGTTGTGATGTTTGTTACAGAGCTTTTATGTTTACAGACTTTATTGGAGACATATAGATTCAATAAACTATCTTTCATATTTTTAGACAGTGTCTGTGGCAAACAGGTGTGGACAGCCCTGAAGGGCTGCTGTGACTCCCATGGCTGCTCCCCTCCTTGCCAGTGTGGGTGAAACCCAGGTGGACACGGGGGTGGTTGTCATGGTGGATTTATTTTAACTGGTGATGCATGTCCCCACCAGCCCAGAAAGAGAAGCAGCAGGGAGACACACCAAGCCAGAACAGGGCAAAGCCACACATGACTGTGGTTTGATTTTTTTAATCATGGAGCTCAACCACAGTCTCAGAATGGGTCTAGAAACCTCCAGATCAGAAAGAGAATGAGCCCTGACACGTCTCTGAGGGCACCAAGCCCACCCTGCGCCCTGGACCTCTTCCCCCAGTACTGCTGCTTCTCCCTGTGTTCCTTTCTGATCACTAAAGCTGATAGCTTGGCCCTAATACCAGCCTGGCAGCCCCAGGCTCTTAATCTGCAGCCTGTGTCCACCTGGTCACTGTCCCTTCACCCTGGGGGGTTGGCTTCCTTTCCCACCAGCTGGCTGACCTCCGCAGGGTCAGGGGCGGGCTGCACTGGTTTCATGGTGATAGTGGGGGTTGAGTACTTCCTCGCAGGGTGTGGCCATGTTGGGTGGGCATCTTCAGCAGGCTCAGCAGCTCGGGGCCTGGCCCTCATCTTTGACAGGAACAGAGACATTGGGCACGAGAAAGTCCTAGCCAGTGAGCTGCAGATGCACGCATTGTTGAAAGGGGTGCCCATCACTGAAGCAGTGTCCTGAGTCTGTCCCAGATACCAGGCCTCATACAGCACCATCTGCCCCTTGGCAGGTCCACTATAATAGAAATCCTCAAAGTCCAGGATTGAAATGAGAGCACAAATTCTGAACAGCTGCTAGTAGCCTAGGGTGCCGAATTACTGATCTCAGGTTTTCACTCCGCTTTGGCTATGGTGACCTGGTAGGAGGCATCCCAAGCTGGGAAGCCACCAAGGGGACTCCCATGTACTCCTCAGTTCCTGAAGGGCTGGAGCTGGTGGGGAAAAGGAAAATACCACAGCAGACACACTTACATAGCACTTGGACTACCCTTCGAGTGCATCACCAGCTTCAACGTGTTGAATTCTCACGACAGTTCTTTGCAGTGGGCACTGATACTGCTCGGTGTTTCAGATAAGAAAGCTGAAGCTCAGAGAGACTGCATCAGTCAGCCATTGCCGTAATAGTGTATGTGCTGAAATTGTAAGGATAATCCCTAAAAGAATAGAAAGGGTGTTTACTTTCAAACTAACAGAAGAAAAATGTAGAATAAGAAAAATAAGAATTCAAAGTCAGAAAGGAGGAAGAATACCCCAAATGGACAAGAAATCTATAGGTGAGTACGCCCCCTGCCAGTGATAGGTGATAATGCAGGGCGGGTGAGAAAGGGAGTGTGTGGGTGGAGTGGAATGGGGTGAGGATGCTATTTAATACGCAGTGTGTGGGAAGACTCAGTAACGAGGTGTCATCCAGTAAAGAGCATGAAACGGGGGCGGAGTTATATGACTGGGGGAAGAGCATTTCCGGTAGGAGGAGCAAGTACAGAGGCCTTATGTTGAGAATATTCATGACTTGACGAGAAGGGCTAGCCAGTGGCCAGAGCAGAGTTAATCAGAGGGAGAGTTGTAGGAGCTGAGGCTGGACTGGGGGGGGGGGGGGGG